TGAGTTACACTGGGCTATTATAGTGGACAGTTAACTTATATGGAGATTGCACTTTACACCGAGGGTACTAATGATGTGTCTACTAGCATTCACAAGTACAGGGGACTTTACTTTTGTATAAACTGAAGTGCGGGTTTGGCTCAATAAATTCCTTCATACTTGTCCACTGTGTCTCCAATGACTCATCATGCCTTAATATCATACTGTAGTGGCACATAAGTTGATTGTTATGTGGGGTAATGTGGTTAATTGTTGTTGAGCGGATATGAATATGTTGATGTTTGTGGGTATCATATCTGAAAACCCTCACGAGACTATACTCGTCCACTTGGGGTAACCTTGTGGTTTAAAAGCTTGTTGCATATGCTAAATGCAATCGTGATCCTTACGAAAGTGGCTGAGAGTATTTTACTTTTGTTATTTCTTTTGTTTTGCTTGAAGACTAGCAAAATAAAAGCTGGGGATGTGATATAGGCCGAAAGGTACCACATTGAGGCCGCTTAAGTTACATTTTTAGTCTTTTAATTTTATTTATTTGGTGGAGATGATGTGTTTCGTGCACTTGTACAGATTTGGCAGGAAATATGAAAATTCAATCAAAAAGGGGGCAAAAGCAAATCCTCCGAGCGAGAAGTGAAGAATTCGAGCCAGCCAGACCACCGCACGTGCGGCCCACCACCACCCATGTCGTGCGGCTCACACGGGTGCTCGAGCGGCCCACCTAGGGACGCGTGCACTGAATTTTTGGTTTGTTTTGCTCCGAATAAAAGACAGAAAAATAGCCAAAATGAGGGTTCAAAAATTATTTCAGAGAAAAGGGAGGCTAGGGTTCTAAATAGGTGATTATTCTCCTAAAGCTTTAAGGACATTTCCATGGGGGTTTCTTCATCATCTTCTTCCTCTTTCCACTCCTCCATGCGTGGCTAGTCGTCTTTTCTAGGGTTTTGATGAAACCCTAGCCATGTAATAGAATTTTTCATGAGCTTTAATTGTAAATTGGTTTGAATAAATGTGTGGATGATTTAGAAGTTTTTAATAATTGTTTCTTTCATCTCTTCAAGTATTTTACTCTCTGTGATTGTTTAATACTTTCCATATATTAATATTCTTTGTGTTTGTATTCAAAATACGAGATGAGTGATGCTATGAGAAACAGGTCATTTTGCTAACATAGTTTAGAGCAAACGACTCATACTACTCGAGATGATTTGTGCTTGTACATTGAATGCGACAACTCTCTGGATTAATATTTCAAACTTGTAGTTATGAAATATTAGGTAGTTCAAACCGGATTGTGATTGATGGCTGATGTTAAGTCTCATTGATGTGGTTAGTGGTGAATTCTCTACCCTAGGATTTTTCCCGAAAATTAACATCTCCAACCCTAATTTTAATTGTCAATATAATTCTTCAATTTTATTTAATTACTGTTTAGTTATAAAATCAATCTTATCTTTTTAATCAAAATTAATTTATGAATTTTGCGATTGAATTAATCTAATTTCGCATTTGTCCCAGTGAATCGATACCTGGACTTGCCATTATTCTAAAAAAATTTGGTATAGTTTAGTGATTTATTTTTGGTGTGTTCAATGACCCATCAATTATAACCTTAAAATGAAATTTATATAAACATCCCAAATGAGTAGATCAACATCCCAAATGGACTTAGATGTGACTACCTAGTCCAAACAAACTAATTGCCTCCACCCTATTTATTTCTAGAGTTGAAAGATGGGATTGAGATTAGCGGGCTGTTATTAGCACCTATCTCTTTACTTTGGCCCCCCCATTTCTTTGAACCCCCAATTAACAAAATGAACCCCCTTCCTTTTTTCTTTAAACCCTTACCTTAATACCAACTATATCCCTCATCTTTTTGACTCCTCATTATCATCATCTTCAAAGCAACCTCTCAGCTCAAATCTGCAAACAGGACAAGTATTGTGGATTTCAACACGATTATTTTGAAATTAAGATTTGAGGTGAAATCATTAGCCCATTTATCTCTTAGACAACAAAGAACTTCATAAATTGCAGCAAACACACACACTAGGAGCATCATAGAAGAAATCTATTGCACCAACAATACATTGCTCAATAAATCTCTCATATTTGTTTTTATGAGTCATCGATTCACTCTGTTTTACAAACCACCTTGTAAACTCTAGCGGCGACAGAGTTGAGGAGGAGTCCAAATCTGATGTACAGATCGCGTAGCTTCAGATTTGATATAGAACTTGTAGAACTTGTGAGTAGCTCCATATCTAATCAAGCCGATTCAGATCGTCACGAACTCCAACGCCTCTTCGGCGGTGCAAATCGGAGCTCCGCTACCGCGAGTGTTGAAGAGGAGGGCTGCGAGGACGCCGCCGACGCTAAAGCTAGCGATGACATCAGAGGTAGTGGCGATCGACAGAGGCAGTGGCAAGGTGACGACGACAGGGGCCATCAGTTGCGTCGACAGGAAAATAAAGAGAGAGAGAGAGAGAGAGAGAGAGGCGTTGTTATGTTAGGTATTGGGGTAGGGTTTGGAAAATTAGGGTTAGGGTTAGGGCTTGAAAAATTAGGGTTAGAATGTTAGGGATGAGGGTAAAAATGTAACTTAATATTTGGATAAAATTGGAATTATAAAAAATAAAAGAAATGGAGGATCCAAAGAAGAAAGGTATGTGTTAATAGCAACACTCTTGATATTAATAGTAAGATGGGATTTTTTTTGAATAATGTGAAAGTTAATATGTATCTGTTTTAAAAAGTGATCATGGAATTAAAAGTCCTATGAGACTATGAAAGGCATCCAAAAAGGGGAACTAACAATCCCATGAGAGAGGTGGGGGGAATTATATTTACACCAAAAAAATTATTAAGTACTTCAATTTCTAAATACACCCTATTTAATTATTTAAAATTTTATTTTACTCTCATTACACCCTATTATTTTTTCCAAATTACCCTCAAGGTAAACCCAAATAATAAATAATAAACAAATTAAAAAAACTAAATTATTTCAAAAACTTTTCAATACAAACAAAAACAAAAACAAAAACAAAAACAAAAAATAAAAACAAAAACAAACAAACTAAACTTATAAGCACATAAGCATTATAAATACAGAAAAAACTAAACTTTTACATAAGCATTATAAAACTTTTCAATACAGGAAAAAAATAAAAAATAAAAAATAAAAACTTTTACATTATAAATTATCCACAAAAATACTCGTGGAAAAGTAAAAAACCAAACTTATGAACACATAAGCATCAAGCACTAATAAGAAAAAGTAGTTCTCAAATAATGTAATATTTAAATGACAAAATAAGAACAACTCCAATAATATGTATTGTTTATCTAACTACTAAATCCTTTAATTTTTGTCAAAAAAATATATAAAAAATAATTGATAGTGTTCTACAAAAATTGTGAAATCCCTTTATATGAATACTTACCTCATTTTTGATGGGTTGCTTCAAAAACTATTTTGATTATTACTTTCATCCATTATTTGATTTTGTTCAAACTTTCTTCTAGGGTTTATTATCTCAAAATAATAAAAAATAATGATGTTGATAATGATCGTGAGTTTTGATAGGGTGGATTGGAGTTTTGGAAGAAGTATGAAGAAGAAAAAGAAGAAATAACTTTGATCTCTTGAGAAAGAAGATACAAAGATTTGAATAAGAATAACTGATTATGGTACACCATGAGAAAAAATATATATATTTTAAGATTTAATATGTGCTGTCTTTATTAGTAAATTCATATTAAGGTATAATAAGAATTTAAATTTATGAATTTAAATTGGGTTTATTGGGACATATTTTGGATTCAAATAGAATCCCTCGAGAGGTGGTATTGATATCTAATCCCATAGGATTGGAAATAAAAATACTATTTTGTCCCTCATTTTATAAAATTAATTTAATATAAAAATAATTTTTAATATTAAAATAAAATAGTATAATAATATATTTATACCAAAATTATCAACATAAAATAATATACTACCAAAATATAATTTTAAATATTAAAATATATCAAAAACACCAAACGGAATTTGTGATATTTCATATAATTAATCCCCTCACTAAAATACATCACAAACAAACATAATTTTTCTTAGTCCCCCTCCCTTACCAACAATTCTTACACTAACAATCTCACCTAACCTAACTCTGAAAACAAATGGACCCTCTATTCTTTCATTTTTGAAGAATATAAATTGCCATTTATAACATTTAATCTACCTGATTTTAAGATAATTGTTAATTTATTTGAATAGAGGTGGAATTGAATGATTATTTCATTAGAATATTCATTCTCACATTTGATTCACTAAAAATAATTAAGAAAATACATTTTGATAAAATTATCATTCATCATTATAAGTAAATAATCATTCTATAATAAAAAGATTAAGAAATATATATTTTATTCCATTCTATATTCTATATATTAAGAAATAATCATTCTATATTTTATTCCATTCAAAAAGAAAGGGATGGGGCTGAAATTTGGGACTTCAGCCAACTTACAAAATTTTGGTCCATTGAACTTTAGGACTTCCCTTCTAATGTGGGAACTTTCAACTTTACTTCTAAAAAAGTTGAACTTAGGCCATACGATTCATTTCCACTTATGTGCCTATTTTAAGAAGGGTTAGTTATTAGACCATGATTGTGAACCTCAAAATATTCCCAATTGTCATTGGTCCAACCTCACATCTCCCCCTATAAATAGTGCAATGACATCAAACTCTCTCCCCCAGAATCACCCTCCCAGTCTGGCCCTGCATATTTGCAGGGCAATCGAAAGGATTACAAGACCCACCAATTATCTCACATCTTTCTCAACCTAATGGAAGCTGAATCAACCGCAACCACCACCGACACAGTCACCACGATCACCGTCATAAAAAATGGCAAGCAGTCCTCTCTCACTCGCAATGAAGACAAGAACAAGAAGAAGAGAGGCACATTCACCATCATCAAGGCGGCATTGTTCATGATGCGCCGCCGATCAGATCAGAAAACGAAGCCTCTTCAAATAGAGGTGGCTTCAAATGTCGTGCTGATGAGACTTGGATCAATGCGTCCTTTGCACCTCCAAGACAATCAATCACCGCCTTCCTCCATTCATCAGGCCTTGCCTTCATCACCGCTCAAAGAAGCGCCAGCATCACCACAACGGTCCTCCACCAGTTCTATGGATAGCATCAGCCAATATGCTTCGGCCACCAATCTCCAGGCACTTGACAGGGGAGGAGATCAGAGCCGATATTCTTCATCAGCAAATCTCCAAGAACTTGAGAACAGTGGATTAGAGAGCCAATATGGTTCATCCACAAATCTCCAGGCACGTGACGATAGATCGAAGAGTCAATATGCTTCTTCGCCAAATCTCCAGTCACTTGCCAAGGGATCGGAGAGCCAATATGCTTCTTCACCAAATCTCCATGCACTCGACAACGTATTGGAGAGTCGATATGCTTCTTCGCCGAATCTCCAGGCACTTGCCAAGGGATCGGAGAATGGATATGCCTCTTCGTCAAATCTCCAGGCACTTGATATAGGATTGGAGAGCCAATATGCTTCTTCGCCAGATCTCCAAGCACTTGCCAAGGGGTCAGAGAGTCAATATGCTTCTTTGCCAAATCTCCATGCACTTGATAAGGTAGCAGAGAGCCAATATGCTTCTTCGCTGAATCTCCAGGCACTTGCCAAGGGATCAGAGAGCCGATATGCTTCTTCGCCAAATCTCCAGGCACTTGCCAAGGGATTAGAGAGTCAATATGTTTCTTCGCCAAATCTCCAGGCATTTGCCAAGGGATCGGAGAGTCGATATGCTTCTATGCCAAATCTCCAGGCACTTGCCAAGGGATCGGAAAGCCGATATGCTTCGGCATTGAATCTCCAAGAACTTGATGATGATGAGAGTGATGCTAGAATCAACGATAATGGCGGAGATGAGATGATAGATGCAAAAGCCGAGGAGTTCATAGCACAGTTTTACCACCAAATAAGGGTTCAAGCGGTCGAACGTTACCATAAGACAAAGGGAAAGGCCAAGACATTGAGCGCATAGGCCAAGTATTCTTTCTTTTTTCTAAGTCTTCCCGTTTTCTACTTCGAAACACTCACAGTCAGCTATAATCTCAAGACCTATTTCAATGAACGTGAATGTTTGAATAGAATAATAAGAAGATTTTGGAGACACAGAATCTAATGCCGAGGGGTAATTACATAATATTAGGCGTGCATGTCACATGCATGCATGCACGTACGTACTATATATCTTTGCACTTCTTTCTATTTAACCTTTCAATCTCTTTCTATTTTCAATATGATTTCGAATAAAGAAGTGAGGAAGTTGGAAGGAGGGAGGAAGGACAAGAGAGAAGTAAAAAGGGGTTCATGGGTTGGTGTAATTTCAATAATAAATTTTAAGTTTTATTTAAATTTATCTTTCTTTTTTCTTTTGTATTGTAGTTTGTACTTTTTTTTAATTGAAAAAAATCACTGAGCGAGAAAAATATTTAGAATGAGACAGGAAAAATTCTAGAATAGGCCAGTGTCTTCCTTGATTCTTTAAGTTTGTATGTTTCTTTTTTTATTTGGGGAGAGATGTTTTGGTTGGTGGAAACCTTATGGGATTCTTCTTAGTGAAAACAAAAAAAATAATTTTGTTTCTATATCTTCTGTATAACTTTGTTGAGTTGCTATTATTATATATGAAAGTGGTGATTTCTCCAATGTTTTATACTTAATTAGCCAAATTTTGTGTTGCAATTGCATCAGGACAGAATGGGGTAGCCTTGAATCACTATGTGATATTAGTTATATAATAACAACAATGATTGAGACCCTTTTTTTTAGAAACCCCCACAATTCCCTTTGATCTCCACCATTGATGGTGTGGGCCCTACACATACACGAGTGAGTCTCACACATATATCAATGGTTAAAATCCAAAAGAAGTTGTGAGAGTCCCAAAAAATGGGAGTCTCAAGCATTTTTCATATAATAATTCAAACCAATTACGCAAAGAAAATTTTTATGAGTGAGATATATTGACTTACTTTGTTAAGTAGTTGGAAACAAAATATGACCGACCCATTAGTATGTGTTGCATTTTTTCATTTGTTTGGAGTACAACGTAGACAATGCCATATGATACTATGAGGTATCTAATAATTTTTACAGTTTTTGGGACAAAATATGGCAACAAAATATTAGAAAAAATTACAAATAAGTATCACTTTTTCCTTCAAAATGTCATTCAGTTTTTTCAACTTTCAATTTTTAGATAACTAAGTCCTATATTTTTTTAAATTCTCTCAAATAAGTTCAACACTCCATAATAACATACTTTAATCCAATCATACCCTTCAAGATGGGAACAAATTGTCTTATTCATTTTGAAAGGCTTTTGTGACAAAGTATTAAGGGCATATTACACTAACATTGCCTATAGTTTAGAACTCGTATCACTTTAATCTCTGACTTTTTAATTGTGACACATTTGATAATAAATTTTCAATCTTGTTCCAAATAAGAACAATTGAGAAGATACTATTGCCCAATTTCAAGGGCAAAGTCGTCAATTTGATAAAATATAAACTAATTTAAAAAAATGTCAAAAAAATATTTTTCAATATCATATCAAACGATCTTAGCAAATTATTATATCAACCTTGCTACGTGCATAGAATTAATGCACAGAAGTCACTCGTGTCTCTTTTCTGTGCGCTAATTTTGTGCACATATCCTTGTCTATGTTCTAAGCATCCTTGTCTCTTTTCTGTGCACGTTCTCCTATGGATCTATTCTGTGAACTAATTTTGTGCATGTACTATTATTGTCCTTGCTCTGTGCACCAATTATGTGGACCTAGTTTTGTTCACTAGTCCATTCATATATGCACAAAATTGGTGCACAAAACAGAGACAATGATGTCGATGCACAGAAACAGAGAATGCGTGAGTCCCACACACCCTTGTCTTTGTTTGCACTAATTTTGTGCATATACCCTTATTTCTTGTGCAGTAGTCCGTGCACCAATTATGTGCACCTAGGCTTGTTGTTCTCATATTAAGTTGTATTCATATCGTAATCAAAGCATTCTAGCATGAAAGAAAAGCATTCTCTGTTGATTTTTGTCTAGAGATCATCAATGATGTGTACTTACTGATCTTTTCTTGAACAAACTCAAAGGGAAAACAATGGACCAAAATGACATTTCAAGAGAAAACAAAGATGGCAATAGGAATTGGTGAAGGTGTTTGCTACGTGCATGAAGAATGTCCTCGAGGCCCCATTGTTTATGGTGACTTAAGGTCGTGCAACATTTTTATGAATTTTGACTTAGAGCCACAGGTAAAATTTGTTAAAATTTGAAACACCTAGTGCAAAAAACAGAGAAAAATAAAAACATAAGAGAACTATCATGGGTACAATTGTTTATTAGTTCAAAATCCAAGGTCTTTCAATCTCATTTCATTTGTTTTCTTCTTTCCCTCACCTTTGTGTATGTGTGTGTGTGTTTGTGTGTGTGGTTGTAATAGATCACTGGCTTTGGTAATGCTACATGGCTGCATCTAAAACAAGGGTTACCAATTTCTACTAATAGGTTTGCATTTATACCAATTCAAGAAATTTTTTGAAATTTCATTTGACTTAGCAACAGTAAAAAAACAAAAAAACAATAATAATGCTGAGTTTCTAATGTGAAATTTGACTGTATGTTAAAAAGGTTCTGGCACACAGATCCTTCAGACCATGAATCATTGGCTTTACTAAAATTTGATATCATTCACTTTGGAATTCTGCTCCTAAGGCTCTTTTGCAGTAGATCTGCTCCGTGGGATGACAAATTTTTTGTAGATTGGGTTAGTAGACAATTTTTTATATATTTTATTACAATTCTCATTTCTATACTGCAATTAGAAGTTTGTTCTCAAAATACTTACTGTAATCGCAGGCTCGACCATTGTTGCTACAAAGAGCATTCCATAAGTTGCTGGACAAAGACATGGAAGACCTGGATGTGTACGAAATATTTAGGGTGATGTGTGTTGCAGCTCAGTGCATAAATACTAAGCCTATTTCATGATCTAGTATGAGCGACGTGATGCAGCATAGATAAAAAAAATATTTGGTACTATTTAGGGCTACAAACGAGTTGAATGGTTCATTAGCAGTTCAAACTCAGCTCATTGCAAAATATACAAGCTTAAGCTGAAATTTTAAACTCATTTATTTAGTAATCGAGTCAAGCTCAAGTAGGCTTGAATACCCTAAAACTCGACTCATTTGTAGCTCTACTACTCCTGCTAGCCCTTTCTAGTTTCATTATGGCTTACTATATCAGTTTCATGTACTTGCAGATAATTTCAATTCTCAAGGGAGAAACTTCTTGTGCTATGCAATTATCCCCTTCATCAGAAGGCAGCCCAAATATGGACTTTAGTGGCTCATCAATTTGTAGACTTGTGCGCAATTTAACCTCAAAGTTGTCACTTTCAAAATAGCTTAGGTGGTACCCAAAAAAAATGTGCAGAAAAAAAATAAAAATAAGGAAATGTAGATGTATAGAAGAAGGGAATATCTTTGGGATCTCTCCTAATTCTTTTTTGAACTGGCTAGCCAGATATTTTCTTTCTTTGAAGCAGTACTGGTTAGACAATTTTCTATGGCAATAAACTACTATGTTTGTTGTCATATCAGGAAAATCTTCATATCATCATCTTGTTCTCCTCTTCTTCTTCGTCATGAATATATATAAATGCCAGTTGTGCTTCATATTCGGAAAAATTACTCAAAATTTAAATATTTGAAAAGGATTTATTTTATATATGACTCACAATACGCTAACTTTAAATCTACACTCTATACTTCACTTTTATAGTGAAATTATGATTGAGTTTTCATGCTACCTAGAATTATTGTATGAACACTGCACATGAAAGATGAAGTCTGGCTTGACTTGGTATACTATTACAATTTTAAATTAGCTTTTTGTGTTCTATGTGTATGTGTTATGATGGAACCAGAAATTAAGAAACAATAAACAACCAAATGAAAACATGAGCATTCAAAGGATCTGTGGTTAATCTTAAAATCCTGAAATAACCCAATATACTTAAGATTCGAACGATATCGAACTTGGTTAAAATAGATCCAAATACAAATACAGAGTCAGATCTATGTTTTGTCACATCACGCAAGTTGACGACGAGTTATAAGCACAATAGGAGCATCTTCAACCGATACTTCAAATCCTACTTGACACTTTAAAAGGCAAAAATTGAGACTTCAACAAGCTCCAACCGAATAGCCAAATGTTTCGTGAATTTGACATGACTAAAGTACAAATATAATAAAACAATAAAATTAGTATATTGTGTGGAGTGTTTCTTTTTAGAGATGTCAAATTTGCATATGTCAACTTACCATCTGAAAAAAAAATTGTCATATCAATTTTTGAAGATTTAGGGGGAGATGCTCTAAAGGATTGAATTGGAAACAGTCGAAACATAATGAAGGAAATTATTTTCACATTCGTTATATTGTATCCTTACTTAGCTCATTTTATGCTATATATAGGCCATTTTAAGTTGCAAATTCTATCTAAAAATGATATGGATACAATGGCTTG